GGAGACCAACTATGACGTTACAAACATACTGACCGTCAACTCCGTGGTCTCATCTATTGAAACCCAAATTGGGCCATCACCAATTTCCGAACGAATACGAGAAATAGTATTTTCATAAATTGCAGAAACATAGTTTTTGCGAATTGTAAACTAGTCAAGAACACATTTACCAGTATATTTTTCTAAAAAAATTTTTAAATGATGGATGATTTGACTTCCATAAAGGTTATATCTGATTCTAACATTACTTGACATAAATCTAGAGGAAAATTCGTTTGTTTATTTTCGTTATTTAATGTATTTTTAATGAACGACTGTTTAGATTTGACTTTTAAATTAATATTTTTGTTATGCTTGCCTGTATTTAAATGCTGTACCACCTGAAAACCTTTTTTTTACGGGCACAGCTTGATCACAAATAATACAATATAATATTTACCATCTGTTTTAAAAACGTCACTTGAAAATTCTTCTACAAATTGACGTAACTTGACACTTTCACTTTGAACTTTCGGCATTTTATAAAATTGTTAACTGATACTGTTATTAAAACCACTCAAATTTTTAAGTATAAGTGTCCGCACATTTACGCAACACAAGTCGTACTAATGAAATTAAATACGTCGTTAAATAATGTGTAGGTAATCCTATCGGTTGTCCGACCAAGATAGGATTAGAGATTAGATAGGTGATATTTATACTATATATTTACAATTCGAGGGATAAACCAAAAACTATCGGTATTATGAAATAAATGCCATTTAAAATTAACAATAATTTATAAAAATTTAAGTTAAAAAAAAATAAAAAACTCAAAAATCTATAAATATGCAACGATATGCATTGTGTTCAAAATATGCAAAAATATGCAAAAAAAAAATTGATTTTATTTAAACGAAAGTAAGCAAAATCTTGGACAAATCTGACAAACAATCAATTTAGACTTAAGAAAAAAAACATGCAAATGCATATAAATCCTAGCCCTAGTAATAACAAAATGTATCGATCGGATTCGTTTGAAATATTTTAAAATACTCTTTAACTGATATAAAGTTTTTATGTGTTTATAAGATATAAATGGCTTTTGAATCAGGAACTTTAAAATTCAAAATCGCTTCTGGGTATTTAGATTAGAGCCATAAATATTAAAATAATAAGACATTTTAATTTATCAAAGTTTGACGCCTATATCACTAGTTTAATATAATATCTTATCGTAAGTGTTGAAATTCAAACTAATTTTGTTTTTACCATTTTAGCAATTTAATACAGTATAATTTAGAAATTATTAAACAAGTGTTTACCAAAACTGTAACACAATACTCAACATGATCACCCCATACTAATCCAAGAGCGGCTAATATCGATACAAATTATATAGTTAGCTCTCTATAAATGAACCCTTAAAACAGTGCCCGTAATCAAGCGTTCCTCTCGCTATATAACGGTTGAAGACTTAAGATATTCGAAAACAAAAAACCCTAAGCTATATTTGCAAAAGGCTATACTTATGCATATTTTCTCCGGGGTAAATTGCATTATGTGGAATGTACTTTCAATTCTGTTGCTCATCATTTCTATCCCTCATCTTTCTCTGTACCACCAAAACATGTACTATATACACGATTCTTGTTTCGGCCGACCAATTCATCCACCCGTTCGATCTCATTATTTTGGATAATAAATTTAAATCGTTTACGAATAATGATATATTTTGTTACCAGTTCACCCTTCAAAAGTTATTATAAACATATTCGATTTTATACTTAAATATATTATCAAATGGAAAACGAAATTTTTATAATTTTTCATTATTTTAATAACTCCTTGATTACACTACTCGTTATCTCTAAATTGTAAACCATTGGTTGAGGAAACTACAGTACAAAGGTTTGTGTGTAAAAAGAATTAGTTTTCGAAAACTTATAGTCCGTGGTCTACTATGGAGTCACGTTGTCGTCGTTGCATCATAAAATCGTTTCTAACAAATCCGCAGGAGCAAAAAAAAAAAAACAATTTTTAATTTTTTTTTTTTCATTTCCAGTCTCCAGATAACGAAAACCTATCGATAATAATAATTGGTCGGCAACTGGGAAAAAACAACGATGCATTATAGTCCTACCGATACATAACCGATATTTGATATCGGCCGATATTGGGGATATGCATAGGTTTTTTCAGTATCTATTTTTTTATAATATTAAAAAAAAATAAAAAATTATATGCTTAAATATGAGTATAAGTTATATCACAAAGTTTGTTATTGATTAAACGAACGGCACAAGCCCACGGTTACGGTTAAGCCAAATTCATATCGGATAAATAGGGTATTATTATTATTTTCCTATCGGTTCGTGGTTTTTGCAAAAACAGTCGATTTCTTAATATATCCAGTAATTGGTTTTGTATCTAAATATTGGATATCAGTAAAGAGTAGTTTCGGTTAATTCATAATTATCATTATCGTTGTTGTACATGTAACTCATAGTGATGGGAATTAAATCTGGATTTATGGATTTAAGGATTTCCGAATTTTGGATTTAACATTATGGAATTCCGTCTTTCCGTTAAAATACAAATTTATTACAAAAAATGTGCAGTCATCAAAACTTTATTGTAAGTCACGCATAAAATAATGATAATTAAAGTTTTCAAAATTCGAAATCCGATTTTAGAGTAAAATCCGGATTTCGAATTCCAATTATTTTTCCCGGCTGCATCCGAATTGGTTCCCATACCTAAATATCGGCATCCGAATTGGTTCCCGAGATTTTATGTAACATATATCCGAATTGGTTTCCGATATTTTATGCATTCTATTTTTGTAAAATACCTTCTATAATGGTTATGCCTATGGATTCTCCCGATAATTCAGTTTATCTAATAATTTCTCTAATCATAAATATATTTATATAAATAAAATAAGAAACACATTATACGTAGATAATGATGATTTGAGTGGTATGGTTTATCCAGTTGTTACTTGTTAGTCGTTGTCTGTACGTTACGTGTTTTATCCTTTTTTAATATGGAATTCATGTACAGTGAAAAAAATAAGAAACTTATGGTGTTAGATGGTTTTAAATTTGGATATCGAAAACAATTAGAAGTTGACCTTGAACGTTGGATATGTATAAAAAAGAAAATGTAAGTCATATTTAAAAATTATATAATTTAACAAACATACATAATCAAAACATTAAAAAAATATAACTTAATTTCTTTTCGTATTATAAACAAACATAACTACATCAAATTTTTTATTTATTAAAAATTAAAATGTATCAACCTATTACATGTTACAACAAGTTGGTTATAAATAAATAACAATAACAACAACAACAATAGCAATTTAATTTAGATTTATATATAATAAATATACTGTGTGTGTGTGTGTGTGTGTGTTATGGATATTAAAACAGTAAGAAGGGGGTTAAGTATAGATTTTAGTTCATCGAGGAATTTGGTAATGATGTGTAGAGATTGATCGGGTGGTGATCTGTTAGCTGCCATTTCGGCATATGACGGTTTTCCTTTTGAGTTTGGACTGGAGGCTTCATTTCCACTTCTTCGAGATGGAGGTGTTATAGGCGGTACAGCAAGTGTTGGAATAGGTTGATGTTCTTTATTTTTTTAGCTTTAGGTTTGGTGCGGTTTAGTATTTTTTTAAGAGATTAGCATCCTTTGTAGTTTGCAGTGTGATTTCCACCGCAATTTTTACATTTTGCGGGTTCCTCCCGTTGTTTTGTGCATTCGTCAGTTGAGTGTTCTGATCCGCATTTTACGCAACGTGGATCGTGATGGCAATAATTACGTGTGTGTCCATATTTTTGGCAATTATGACATTGAGGAGGGTCGGACCGTCTTTTTGGATATTCGAATTTCATTATTGAGTTTAATATTTTTATTATTTTAAATATTTTTCGATTATTGTTGTTGCGGGCCAGGCCTATATTAAATAGAGGAAGTGGTAACTTGTTTGTGTGGTGTATTATTTTTAAGATACTTTTGACTTTGTGCCCTAGGTCACTAAGGTAGTTTATAATATCCACGGTATGCGAGGAGTGGTGAAGGTGGCGTAGCACGACTCGGAAAGGTTATAAGGAACGGGGGAAATAAGAATGGTAATCGTAATTGGCTTCAACCAGATATGATTTAATTGCCATCCAGTTTTTGCATGTGTTTGACCGAACGATAATATTAGATCTATTAGCTTTGTATGTGAAACCCTCTGGTCCCACTATGCTAGTTAAATCTTTTTTGAGGATTATAAAATCGGTAAGGTTTGTTAGTACGATATTTGGGAGTTTTATCTTACTTGGTTCTGGCGAGGTCTTGGTAGTTTGTGAGGCGAGCTGAGATTCTGTTTGCACGAAAACATTGTCTTGTTTCTCCATTTCTAGAACTTCGAAACGATTTTGTGTTACAAAAACTTTGTTTTTCTTATCCACGTAGGTCGGGGAGTTTGAGGAGGTCGACGAGAGAGCTCTCTTTGTAGGATTTTCCATAGTTTTCTTTTTACGAACTGTATTTTTGTTTAGAATAACAATTGGTGAAATCGTGGCTATTACACGTTTTTAATGCCTCGTTGTGATAATTAAATGGAAAGATAAAGTACGATACACGACGCATTACGAAACTACGGCGGCGCACTAGTTATCGCTTTGGCTGTCTGAGCCCGACTAACTACATCAAAATAAGCATAAACAAATTTCAAAAAAATGAAATTATCATAATACTAGAAAAAACAAATTTTAACCATATCTAATAAAAGTAGACAGTCCTATGTCTGTATGAAATGGGAAGGAAAATTGAAATTACTCCGAAATAAAATGGGAACCAATTCGGATATACTCTCTGTAAGAAATCGGGAACCAATTCGGATACACCCTCCGTAAGAATTCGGGAACTTGCAACTTCGTACATTTTGGAATCAATTTGGATTTAGCGATTTTTCCCATCATCAGTAACTCATCAGATTCGTTTTCCATTTTTCGTAGACGCACCGGGCTGCAAGACGGACCGGGTGATGGTGATTGGCGCTTCTCGAGGCGAGAGCATGGACGTGCTGTGTGAGGTGGATGCCGACCCGCCGGCCAAAGGGTTCCGGTGGAAGTTCAACAACTCTGGCGAGACGATCGACATCGGTAACGAACGTTTCGTCTCCAACGGTACGGCCAGCGTACTGCGGTATACGCCCGTGGCCGATCTGGACTACGGTACGTTGTCTTGCTGGGCCGTCAATGGAGTCGGCCACCAATCCGTGCCGTGCTTGTTCCAGATGGTGGCCGCCGGTAAGCGAAACTCCAGTACATTCGTTATTATATCGTTATAACATAGTATTGTCCCCCCGACCACCACCTCCCCGGGATCTTGCAAGTGGTTTTTTTGGGAGTACCCAACGTTTTTTAGAACACAATATTAAAAAAAATAAAAACAAATATTACTATCAAATTTAACTTAAGTTTGTATTACGGTTTTCGGTAATCCCGTAGAACATTTGCAGCTATTTAAACCGTATAACGTTCAAAACGATAAAAATAGTCCGTGCCATTTGAACTGTTTTCTTCCATCAACCGAATACGATTAAAAAAAAAAAGAAAAGGGGGATCGTTCATTCACGCGATCGGGATAATACGACATAATGTTTCTCATCATCTCTATAACGGTTCGTGTGCAGGTAAACCACAGTCGGTACACAACTGTACGGTGCACAACGACACGGACGGTGCGGTGGACGTGCAGTGTGAACCGGGCTACGACGGTGGCCTGTCTCAGGTGTTCGTGCTGGAAGTATTCGCCGAGGACCTGGACAACCGGGACGACGGCCAGGTGTTGTACCGGAACATGACGGACCGGACGGCGCCGAGGTTCTCGCTGGGAAAAGTCGCGTTGGGTGTGCTGTACACGGCTCGCATGTACGCAGCCAACTCCAAGGGCAAGGCCACGCCCGTCACTCTGCCCAGATTTTCGTTTCCTAGCTCCGAGAACCAAATGGGTGAGTTCAATTTCGATTTCCTGACAAACGTTAACCCGGTTAACCGGTTTGTGAGATATGCGAATAGTGGAGCATATAGCGATTAATTGTAACGCTACCACGGCAATCCGTCAAACTAGTGCTACTCAACGGGGGCGATATCGCCCCCCGGTGGGCGGTGAAGGAGTAACGAGAACAGTGAACTCGTTTTCCGTTCAAAGCAACGATTTCTAAAATAAATTCGGGACTATTAAATATAAACTACATATACCCGTGGCAGTGCGTTATTGTCTAATAACAAAAAAAAGAAAGAAAATCGACTAGACATTATCTAAAGAGGAGACTTACGCCTTCGTCTCACAAACTTTGAACCAAACGTAAAAAAATTGACTTTGAATCACTAAGCACAACCATCTCATTGATCAATATATTTCAAAACATTTAAATTATATTTAAACATAAATTTTACATTTTATTTTTATTATATTTGCATTTATATATATTATTTAGCATTCAATTATAAACATTTCATATACACTATTTTTATTTTAATGAATTAAATAATGGGGGCGTTGAAAAACACTTTGCTTCTTAAGGGGGCGGCAGTTTGAATAATTTTGATAAGCACTGCGTTAAACCGTGCCACGGTGCACAGTGGGATAAACGGTAAATCCGAACGGTCCAAACTTTTTAAATTGATACCGATCGAATCTGATGCGATACTATACCTTATAAAGCCAATTACGTTTACAATTAGAAAATTTGTTATAAATGACAATGACGGACACATCTGGTTTATGATATTAGCCATTGAATACGGTGAGATCCAACTGTAAGCATCGTTATTTTACACAACGTTTAATTTACGGCGTTTCAAACGTACATCATTTGTTTGATAATTATAATATCAAATAATTTTGAATTATTAATTATAATAAATAAGGTAAACGAAATAATAGGTACAATTATTATTCAGAATATTTTATATTTTAATGACGTATTGTATCGAAATGAAATGGGTAATAATATTAAACTTTAAAACATTGCATTGAAACAATTTGGTCTCCCGATCAAAAAAGGTAAAACAAGGAGGGTTAATCTATTTTGATACATTTACCTTAACATATATTTTGAGTAAATATATTATTTTTATCCCCTACTATATACCAATATTAAAATAAATAATTTTTTTTTAAGATTTTTTTTGTAAATTAATTTACAGCCGTGTTACGTGAAATTAGAACAAATACTGTTAAATTTTATTAAATCTAAAATATCTAAGAATCAGTTAAATAGAGTCATAATACAATTTAGGAAAATAAAATTACTGGTTTCTTCATTTCGTTGAATAAAAGATGGATCATATCGAAAAGAACATTCAATATACTCGTATTTACAAATATTATTAGCAATTATATATAAATTAAGTAGAAATAATTCCAAAGAATATATAATAACTTCTTTAGAATGTATATAATGTATTTGAAAATATTTAGTTTCAATAATATATGTGATTAATTTTTGTATTAATCTGAAAATCTGATTTTATTAACTTTTTTGTAGTGTATACAACATGGATCAAACGATTAAAAAAAACAAATAAATATTTTGTCTTACTAAAAAACCTATATCTTCCATTGTACGATGCCAAGGTGAACGTCTGACCTACTGCTTAGACCCAACCCCGTAGAGGCGAGTTAAATAATAAAACATATTCAAGGAAAATCAAAAAAATAAAATCTATTAAACATTCATCGTCAGCTGTAACAACTCTTCGACGTCATATTGTAATTATGTTGACTACACAAAATTATAAACATAATCGTACTAAACAAAGTAGAAGGTGATTGTGGCAAGGATATGATATTTAATGGTATCGAAGAATCAGTTCAAAACAGAAAATGATAGATATATAAAGGGACTGAAAGAAAGAGAGAGAGAGAAAATTATAGATAGGGAGAAATGCAGTAAGAAAAAAAAATTAAAAAGAAAAAAATTAGCGAATAAATTCCGCTTGTAAACCAAACAATATTGGTCAAGAAAATAAAAAAAAAATGAGGAGCTTTGTGTTTTAAAGAAATCTTGTAAAGATAGGATAACTATTTGAACAAAAATATTAAAAAACCGATAAGAACAAAGACGGTTGTAGCCGAAACGATAAGACGGGGGAGTAGGAAACTAATATATATATAATTTTAGAGCAGGAAGGAAATTTTTATACGAAATCAATGTAGGGATCAGACGATATAAGTGATATTTTCGTAAAAAGAAACGAATAAAGTGGTTAGGATTCGTGTTAGATATACGTTGTCATCGATAGGAAATTTTGGATTGAAGTTGACGAGGAAAATCGGAACAGGAGATGCTTTTTCTCGGCGAGCACACTATAACGAGCAACGTTACGTGCGGATAAAGGTATTGACAACGTACGGAGGTAGGGGATTAACTGGAACTTAAAGGCGTAAAGAACAAATGCCGCGTGTGCATAGCGACGAACGGAGATATCGCGCGAGATGATGAATCAAGAGGAAAATGGTCCAGGATTGAAAAACGGCACAACTCATTACGACCGATGATAACAGTACGGAACCGGACGACGTTATCACCGCGTTTCAGCACTTCTGTTGTTGGTGCGCGGAGATTTTGTGTGTTCGCAAATGACGGGATGCGATCAATCGATGGTTTTGCGATCCCGGAGACAACACGAAGGACAAAGGAACAGCGGGGTGAAGGTGGGGTGGTGAGCGAGTCGAATGGGAACGGCTTCGCAGCACAATGGCCAGTGGACTCGCACTTGATTAGGTTATCGGTCATGGTTTGTCTTTCGAACGGATCCGGGCGTAGAACTGCCGCGGTGAAGTCGGACGTCCGTACGGCAACGCCCGGTTTAACGATTCGGAAACGTACGATAAAACGGTACGTGCACGCGCATTCTCCGCCGATCCGGGACGATGATTAACGGTTTCCTAGTCCGATACGTACGCGGTATACTTGCTCCTAACCCGTTCCCGAGACGTCCACGTGTAAACGTAATATTATTATCATTATTATATGTACCTATACTTTACGTGTCTGTGGCTGCCGTTACGCGTGTTGTTATGCTAATACAATTGTACAGGGGTGGCTCCATAGTCTTGGATAGGGGGAGGGGAGGCAAGTTATAATTTCACAAAATCTTATGATAAAAAGAAAACAACAATTTTCACAACACAAATTCAAGTTGTCTATTTTTAAAATTGGCAAAAATATCAATATTATGATCTATTCGATTTAGAATATCTACTTTATAATATATATTAATTAGACATAATGCTGATAGTCTATCTTCAGTCATCCTTGAACGAAGCCAAGTTTTTAATCTCCAGTGTGTGGAGAAACTCCTTTTAATCGTCATACCTCTATGGCTTTATCTACATACTAGTGCGTGTCGTATGATAGACCATATTATAATATGCATTTTTTGTTAACAATATACATTTTTTTATAAATACGGTACGGATTTGGGTGGCGCAGTCCCTAGGCCTCCCTGGAGCCGCTCTTGCAGTTGTATCACATATTTTGATAAATTCGACACGTAGGGGCAAATGCCTATGATACAAAGTCTTAAACACATATTACATGTGTGTTCGTGCAGAACAATGGAAAAAGGGTGGTTTCCAGACGGTACAAAAATATCACGATTAAATGTAATACGGAAATTATCTTACGAGTTATAACTCGTTTCGAAAAACACTCGTGACAATAACGTGCGTACAACGTACAACGTTTATGGTTTATTACAACGGTGTAAGAAAAAATGTATAAAAACTTATACTTAACGTATATTATAGTTTCATGCGAAATGATTGATTGTTTTTTACGACGCGTTCATCCCCTTGGTCCATACGTATGTTTTTAAATGATTAATTTTTACTAATTTGACGTAAATACATGAATATACTGAATAATATAGTTAAGGGAGGCGTCCGGGCGTGAATATAGGTAAAATAAAGTTATATTTTTTCCGTAATAACATTTTAATATTTTAACTTTTGGTATACTAACATGTATTTTTAATTTTAAATTCCAAAGAAGAATATATAATATTTATAAAAAAAAAAAAATCGAATGCCGAACTACCAATGTGAATTATTTATAACATTTAAGGTTGAACGATGGTGAAGTGGTAAAGGGTATCTCACGAAATGGCGGTACACTATGTTTATATATATTCAGTTGGTTTTTAAATTTTTTTAGTACTACTTAAATAAGTACATTGGTTTGATATTTAATTTTAATAATATTACATATTGAATTCTGTTTCGGAATATTTAATATATATACATATAATTGGTGGAGTAAAAATTTCCTTAAAAATAGTGTAAAAAGTGAATAATGTCTGCGGATGGAAACGTCGTCGCCATCGTCGTGTATGGTACAGAAATGTACGAAAAATAATTTGATAGGTGCACATAAATTTAATGAAAAAATGGGTGTAGCTTTTTGTGAAAAAAAAAGTTTAACTGCATTTTACACCTGCAACTCCAACCGTTAGTCATTTATGCCCGAGATGGTTCACGAAAACGTACAGCATCTGCATTACATCTCGTGCCTTTGTTAACCGTATACCGCACTCGTTTAGCGCGCGCACAGATAAATTTACAATGGTGAGAGGATAGATATGAGAAAACAATTTTTTTAAGCATTTTTAATATTATTACTTTTGTCTTTTAATTGTTTAAAATTTCTTAAAAGTACGATAGAAGTAAATATTTTATTTTTTTACAATGAACGATGTTTAAAACTAAAAATATATACATTTAGAAAATGTATTACGTAAATACTTGAGTAATTATTAAGATGTTCTCTCCTTCATCTAGTTATTCTTAATACGCCACACACACAAACCGCATATTTTATACGCGAAAATTATTAAAACTAATATTATTGTATTATTGTAATCGAATTTCACAGCAAAATCAATATTCGCGAGCGTGTGAAGAATGGACAACGCATGAAAACACACGAATTTCGTTCTGGTT